TCACTATAGTACTGAAGTATGAAGCACTGCCGCTACACTAGAATATCAAAACAGAAATACATTAGGAAACGTCACTATAGTACTGAAGTATGAAGCACTGCCGCTACACTAGAATATCAAAACAGAAATACATTAGGAAACGTCACTATAGTACTGAAGCATGAAGCACTGCCGCTACACTAGAATATCAAAACAAAAATACATTAGGAAACGTCACTATAGTACTGAAGCATGAAGCACTGCCGCTAGAATATCAAAGTACTACCTATGAATGCTACAGAACTTTAAAACATAGAACAGTGACATTTTTTTAAAATATTGAACGCCATTCTGACAAAAGGTATCGAAGACACGATTATCTTTTTAAGAGTGGTTAGTCCTGTGGTAAAGTATGGAACGCCTGTTATAAGTACAGGTGTTATTAAGTTGATAGCATTAAGTAAGTTGTATAATGCGTGGAAGAAGATTTGCCTCTTGCAACATTACAGTTCATGGCTGCCAATGCGAATAATTTGGAACAAGCAGGAAAGTATCCTGACAGACGAAGTAGAATAAATAGAGTGAATTTACTTACAACGATTTCATGGTCCATCGTATCTAAATACATACTGAACACTTACTTATAACGATTTCATGGTCCATCGTATCTAAATACATACTGAATACTTACTTATAACGATTTCATGGTCCATCGTATCTAAATACATACTGAATACTTACTTATAACCAGTAAACTCGTTCACAACCAAAACACTGCCATTATATTTTGATAAAATATATTGAACAAACTTTTGACAATGACAAGTTTTAAGCCATTAATTGGTGGTTTGATGTGAGCTATAACATGAAAATGCTTGAACAAACACAAAGGACGTAAACGTTTGATTTCAATATTGACTCAGAATTAACACTCGATTGGAAATTACAGACCTGTAACAATATCTAAAAGGTAAACACACTATCTACTGCTGTCGAGAGTCAGTATGTATATCACCAAATGGACTAGAATGAAAAAACACCTGTCGACAGACAGTTAAAATATCATTGATGGTAATTCTTCTTTTCGGTATATGTTAATGGTCATCAAGACACTTATTCTAACTTAAAATAATGCATGTAATGTTTCCTTAGGTACCTTGAAACAGATCTAAATAAGCAAAGGCAAATATTACATTGATTCCGGAACTCTTCCGTCGATACTTTGAGATGAAAAGATGCAAAGATATTCTTTTTCAACTGAATCAAATATATGGTGTATTCACGCTACGAATAATTCGTGTGTGTGAGCTTGGTAATTTAAAGAATTACCCATATCGTTACTTCATTAATAGCCAGTACGTGTTTCTCCGGTTTTATCCACGGTGATTGACAACATTTGTACCTGCTAACTACATTATACAATTGTATGGTTGATAAAAGGGAAAACGGCCTTGCCAAATATAGCATCTAGCGATACACCAGAAAAAGGGACATGCCAATTATAGAGCATTGTCGTAAATAAGAGAAAATACTTTACCAAATATATAACACTGTCTTCAAACCAGAAAAGGAAATGGCATTCAAAAATGAACATAAAGAATTATCGTATCCCAGAGAAAAATGCCACATCAAATATAAAACCCTGTCACAAACCAGAGAAAAATGCCACATCAAATATAGAACCCTGTCACAAACCAGAGAAAAATGCCACATCAAATATAGAACCCTGTCACAAACCAGAGAAAAATGCCACATCAAATATAAAACTCTGTCACAAACCAGAGAAAAATGCCACATCAAATATAAAACCCTGTCACAAACCAGAGAAAAATGCCACATCAAATATATGAACCCTGTCACAAACCAGAGAAAAATGCCACATCAAATATAAACCCTGTCGTATGTCACAAACCAGAGAAAAATGCCACATCAAATATAGAACCCTGTCACAAACCAGAGAAAAATGCCACATCAATGCCACATCAAATATAAACCCTGTCACAAACCAGAGAAAAATGCCACATCAAATATAAAAAAAACAAACCAGAGAAAAATGCCACATCAAATATAGAACCCTGTCACAAACCAGAGAAAAATGCCACATCAAATATAAAACCCTGTCACAAACCAGAGAAAAATGTCACATCAAATATAGAACCCTGTCGTATACCAGAGAAAAATGCCACATCAAATATAGAACCCTGTCACAAACCAGAGAAAAATGCCACATCAAATATAAAACCCTGTCACAAACCAGAGAAAAATGCCACATCAAATATAAAACCCTGTCACAAACCAGAGAAAAATGCCACATCAAATATAAAACCCTGTCACAAACCAGAGAAAAATGCCACATCAAATATAGAACCCTGTCACAAACCAGAGAAAAATGCCACATCAAATATAAAACCCTGTCACAAACCAGAGAAAAATGCCACATCAAATATAAAACCCTGTCACAAACCAGAGAAAAATGTCACATCAAATATAAAACCCTGTCACAAACCAGAGAAAAATGTCACATAAAATATAAAACCCTGTCACAAACCAGAGAAAAATGCCACATCAAATATAAAACCACATCAAATATAAAACCCTGTCACAAACCAGAGAAAAATGCCACATCAAATATAGAACCCTGTCACAAACCAGAGAAAAATGCCACATCAAATATAAAACCCTGTCACAAACCAGAGAAAAATGCCACATCAAATATAGAACCCTGTCACAAACCAGAGAAAAATGCCACATCAAAATATCACAAACCAGAGAAAAATGCCACATCAAATATAGAACCCTGTCACAAACCAGAGAAAAATGCCACATCAAATATAGAACCCTGTCACAAACCAGAGAAAAATGCCACATCAAATATAGAACCCTGTCACAAACCAGAGAAAAATGCCACATCAAATATAGAACCCTGTCACAAACCAGAGAAAAATGCCACATCAAATATAGAACCCTATCATAAACTAGAAAAAAAGAGATATTCTTTAAATGATTCCAAAATCCTTTTCACACACTTACATCTTCAAACCGATATCGTCCAATCGAGTTCATCTCTTTTTTCATGCACAAATTTAAGTCCTTAATGACACTATTATTATGTACAACGAGTATTGCTGGTTGTCTTGGTTGTTCCTTTCCCTGTAAGTTCCAAATAAGAGTTATAGCAGGCGAGGACGGGAATTTATATAAAAAATACACAATTTTCATTTACGAACATATTGGTACTAGTCCTAGGATGTCCATTGCGCTATCCACCGTGCTTTTATCTACATGTATTGTGTTACGCATTTGGCTTCGTTTTAGCTCTATACAGCATTCAGTTGCTGATCAATGTTATTGATGGCAACAGATTTATTTGAAATCTTGTTTTTATCCTTCAAAGCGTACGACTTTCAGTGCAATAGTCAGCTATCTCTAAGTATCTAATAATGACGTCATAATTGTTATGACGTCACGAGCAGCACACTAGAGAGATGGTCTCACTAACCAAAACATTACAGGCCTACAGTAAAATCTTGAACATAATATATTTCTTCAGTAAGTAGACATGGAATACTGTTACTGAATTATTAGTGTGTGAAGAGAAAACCCTTTTAAAGAACGGCCAGAAAACTGAAGCTATGTAAATAATTTTAGAGAAGGTTCAGGAAACCCAAACCATGTTAACAGTTTTAGAGGATAGCCTGGAAAGCGATATACATACGTTGTGGATAAAACAGGGGTTACATCAAGTAACGGGTCATTCAGGAACACAACATACTTGGAAGGGTCAGATAGTGAAATATGTTATACCCATATATAGGGGATAACTGTTCATCATTATATATGGGAATGCTACGTGGTCGATAGTATTACAAGGACTTTGTAAATACCAACAGCATAGGTTGGTGTATTTCCCAGCATCACCGAAACCTTAGGTCAGTGAAGGCTGGTGTGCTGCCAATATCATTAAAACCTCGGGTTAGTTGTGTTTCCATAACATAGATTTAGATATTGTAAATCACAGGGACTTGGTGCGAATTTCAGATAAGTAAAGAAAAAATGTGGTCGGTTTAGTTCGAAATTCAGTATAATGACATAACTGACTTCCGCAGATTTTTCACAAGTACGCGGATACGAGAAAAACATTGTAATGTTCTGTAATTAGTCTGTTGTTAATTAAATACTGCTTCAACCCACGGATCAGCTGCTACAAGGAAAGTCTGTGGGAAGGGTAGTCTCGAATGACAACAATTCCAAAACATTATTTCTGTCAATCTGAAATTTACAACTCTACATGTCGATTGCAGTCATCTAAATTGACCATCAAAACTGAAATGTAGATGACATAGAGGTACTAGGAACAACAGCGTCGTCAGCAATAGGGAAGATCTAGTAGCATCAAGCAAATCTAATACCATGTACAGAAAGTCCGGGTGTAAATAATTAAAAGCATATCGCACAATAAAACGCACACCAGCATATCGTTATTTAGTCAATTATCCGTGCTTCAAAGAAACCATAAAGTAGATATATAACACAGTTTTACCGAGTGAATAATTTATATTCTGTACCAAGAACAGGTTACAGACATTCGTACGGAATCGATTACTAAAACGTCCTATCGGAGACGAATAGGGAGGGGGATTGAGGGGAGGGGTCGTTCTTGAATCCTTGAATGGAAACTCGTTGGACCAGACACTTGTACATGTTTATTAATTAATATGGTTGATCGACGGCATTTTGCAACATTTTTCTCCTTTTTTAGCGACACAATCGTTTCATCTGATATAGCTTAAAGAAGGTGTGGTTTGAACGTCCTTAATAATGTAAAACACGGATTTTACTGTAAATTTAATCCATTGAACGAAATGGAGTAAAGCGCAAAGCCTAAAATTCTGCTTTAAATTCGTTAAGAGGTAGAATACATTGTCTAGTTAATCTTTTAAAAGTCTCCCCACCATAGTCCAACTACTGAAAGTTCATAGTCAGACTATCTTTTAAAATAAGTTTTTCGATTCTGTACTTACCCAGGTGTATGGAACGGATCGGGGGTCATAAGTATACTTTTTCCATTTGGTGGTAACGGCATTTTGCTCTTGTGCCTTGAAAATCCACAACTGTTCGTTGATAATGAAGAGAGTCGATCGGGTACACAGTTAATTTCCTCCAAGAGAAAGTTCCACGTTCGATATCAGGCCGATCTTCTTAGCGTAGCTATGGAGCAGGTCTATTACGTCATACTATTGTTGTCGCAGGGGTGTGCGGGATACGTATTATTTGACCCCGTGACCTCTCCAGTTGACGGACGTTTAGTTTTACGAAATCGACATTAACACAACTTGAAATTGACATATGTCAGGAAGATAAAAACAAATGAATGAGTGGAATTCGATAAAATAGTATACACAGCAGGGAAAATCAATAGGGAAAATAAGCTAAGTAGTACCACCAACCTCTGCTGTGAACTTCATACAGGTAAAAAATAATGGACGAAGTATGTATTTCACAGGTAGATAACGTGGCAACGGTGTGTGTCAAAAGGAATGAAATTAGATACCAAGTCTTTATATAAATATATGTTATATTGTATATACATTAACGGGGCATTGTAATTTAAATACTATCATTCATGTAAATTGAATTATATACGCGATTTGACCCCAACGTAGTCATATGTGACATTTTGAGATCCAAATTCAAAAACGTTGAAACTGAATATTCTAATTAAACATTGATAGTATGTAGCTTTACGAAGAAGATATTATATTGGACGAGATTTGTTCATGGACGCCGATCAAGGTTGAAAGATGACACCCAAATCGACGGCAATCAATCAAAAGAATTATTTTGTATACAAGTTGTTCATCTGTACACATGTGTATATGTCCGACTTAAACTAAAAACATATTTAATTTTAATGTGTCATTTATCAAGTCTGTAGTTATGTGTATTTAATTATCAATAGTTTAAAACGCCAACTTGTGTTTTGTAACTTCACTGAAATAAACATGTGGACCTCGTGCAGAAATAATTTCAAAATATATTGATTTATATGTTATTTATCAAGTGTAACGCTTGGTATCATGGTATAAATAATCACCAATGTTATTGTCTATCTTATCAATGTACAAAATAAAAGTGACACGAAATTTCGTGTATTTACAGAGTGTCTATAGTTTATTTTACAAACTGAGAATGTTGTTGTTAAAAAACTGCACGATTTTTACAAGAATATTAAACGTTAAACAATTGTACATTTTAAGGCTTGTTAACAATGCTCGTGATCGATTTCAGTATATAGGCATTCTCTACCCTGGTTTATGAATGGTTTCACCCGTCCTGGAATATACATTTTGAAACATTTGCTATGTTTTAACATACAAATCCATTTGCTGTAATCGGATTATTTTCAGACCATTGTTCTGATTGATTTAACATTCTTTACACGCCTTGTTAGCCTTGAGACGAACTTTAAATTTAATTTTAAACACATCTTTGATGTTTATTCACTCGATATAACTTATTGAAAATCGTCGAGAAACGTTAAACAAAACCGACTATGATGAACTCCATTCTCGCATTTTTCCATATCATTTAAAAGTACACCAAACTAAACGATATTGCTTGCGGTAAAACGACAGAGGGCGATTTTTTTCTCGTGCTACAAAACACATCCCCGTAACATTATGGAGTTTCTGAAGGAATGATACCTTGTTTCTGTTTGGTGTCCTTTAAGTTTTTTACAACTACCCGTCAAGTCACGGAATTACAAGGACGTGTTTTGTGTAGGTACATATGTGATCGATAGATATTGATTGTAAACTAGAAAAGTTACTTCCCTTGTCGACCAGATCCTTTGCCATTGTCTACTCGACCAGAGATTTTTTTCGTCCACAATGAATCAGTTGATATGCAGCATTTGCGGCATCAAAGTCCGGGTCAGACGTAGTCATGAAAATTTTACTGTATGTTTTTACTGTCAATGTCGAAAAATCTACATTTCTGCTGCTGTACAACATTGTAACTTCCATTCACTCTTTTATCATTCAGTTTTGTACGTTGTACATGGTGTAATCAGTTATCCATACTGCTTTAGCAGTATACTCGTTTTATATTCTTGTAGATCTACCGTATGTCTAGTTGTTCATACTGAACATAACAAAGAACAATTTGACATATATATATATCACGACTTAATCATCAATTCCCAAATATGTCCACTCCATATCCACATCTTGTCCGTTCCTTACCCTAATATGTCCACTCCATACTCATAGCGTGTCCACTCCATATCCACATCGTGTCCGTTCCTTACCCTAATATGTCCACTCCATACTCATAGCGTGTCCACTCCACATCCACATCGTGTCCGTTCCTTACCCTAATATGTCCACTCCATACTCATAGCGTGTCCACTCCATATCCACATCGTGTCCGTTCCTTACCCTAATATGTCCACTCCATACTCATAGCGTGTCCACTCCATATCCACATCGTGTCCGTTCCTTACCCTAATATGTCCACTCCATACTCATAGCGTGTCCACTCCATATCCACATAGTGTCCGTTCCTTACCCTAATATGTCCACTCCATACTCATAGCGTGTCCACTCCACATCCACATCGTGTCCGTTCCTTACCCTAATATGTCCACTCCATACTCATAACGTGTCCACTCCACATCCACATCGTGTCCGTTCCTTACCCTAATATGTCCACTCCATACTCATAGCGTGTCCACTCCACATCCACATCGTGTCCGTTCCTTACCCTAATATGTCCACTCCATACTCATAGCGTGTCCACTCCACATCCACATCGTGTCCGTTCCTTACCCTAATATGTCCACTCCATACTCATAGCGTGTCCACTCCACATCCACATCGTGTCCATTCCTTACCCTAATATGTCCACTCCATACTCATAGCGTGTCCACTCCACATCCACATCGTGTCCGTTCCTTACCCTAATATGTCCACTCCATACTCATAGCGTGTCCACTCCACATCCACATCGTGTCCGTTCCTTACCCTAATATGTCCACTCCATACTCATAGCGTGTCCACTCCACATCCACATCGTGTCCATTCCTTACCCTAATATGTCCACTCCATACTCATAGCGTGTCCACTCCACATCCACATCGTGTCCATTCCTTACCCTAATATGTCCACTCCATACTCATAGCGTGTCCACTCCACATCCACATCGTGTCCGTTCCTTACCCTAATATGTCCACTCCATACTCATAGCGTGTCCACTCCACATCCACATCGTCTCCATTAATACGGATTAAACAAATTAGAGTAGTTTCTTTATCATGCCATTACAGTAGAGATGTTGTGACACTTCAGATTAATTGATCTTGAGTGTTAATATTGCCTTATAAAACTACAGTAAAACGATATAATTCCAATGCATATAACTACATGAAATCATAAAAGGTGATTTTACAACTCGGTGATATCTGAGTGTGATATAACCGATTCAAGTTTCATACAATGCATGTGTCGACCAGAGGTTGTTGAAACTATCAAGTCGTCAAGTGAATTTTCTAGGATGTTTACTCTAACTTATCGATGTTTTACTCTTTGCCGATGATGACACTGAAACAGTTTGCACGGTTTAGGTATTTTTGTGTTGCTAACGCTAATTCGATATGAACTTCAAGGCCATGTGAACAAAGATCGGAACACATTAACTATCAAATTACATCTGTCTTTGATAACATAAGATATATAGTGACAGGGCTTCAGAAAAAACACCAATACACATGACTGTATGATATCTTATAGTTTATCATAAACTCTATAATTCCTGATTCTTGTATATATATAATATACTGAGTCGTTCGATGACTGGAAATACAGACGAGTTATCGCCCTTATATCAGGACAGTGCAGAGGTGATGGAAAGGGTGTTGTTATTTATCATTATATATGACCGAAATGGTCAAATGTCTAAAAATTAATTAAAATAGCTGACAGGTCGGAACTATTTTGCACTTGGTATGTTAAAGGATTACAGTGTTGTGTGTGTGTGGTGGTAGGGGTGCACGGGGATATGGGCTAATAATGTATGGTAAGACAATTAACAATCTAATCTAGTTCTAAATCTACTGATTAAAAAAAAGTTAATTGAAATAAAACTTTTGGTGATTTCATTAAAGATTACTAATGTCGAGAGTGTCATTCATTTTTTCGGCTTTTTTTTTTTTTTTTTTTGTCATTATTTGAATTTAAACTTGCATATTAGTAATGGAACCCTATATTGAATAAATCCAGACACTCTCCGACATGAAACCAGTTGAATACAAAAAAGTCGACGTTATTGAAATAAAATATTTATAGAACGAGTTTATCTAAGGGCTAAATAAGAAATACAAAAAACCGGCAGCCTTGTCGACAATCTTTACATATAAAAAAGTATATCTTCAAGCAGATATCAAAAATTAAAACAAACCATATTCTTACCTGTTCAAGACGAGCAGGTTTCGGTCAATGTGCAATAATTATAATCTTACCGAATGTTTTAACACTTGGGTTGACAGACGCAGACTCTGTCCACCGTGCGGAATCTTTATGTAATAGACTTTGGACATGGCTATAAAGAACTACCTAATCAAAGTGTATTACACACGTGTGTATATGAGACTTGAGATATGTTGAAGGTGTAGTATGTGTCACATATACAATGTATAACATTGGCGACAAGTATAACATATTTGATAAATTGAGAGTGTGAAAAACTTCCTATATAACTAAGTGTGTATCAGACTTCCTGTGTGACTAATTTTGTGTGACCGAGTGTGTGACTGAGCTTGTTTTTATTGTGTATCACATACTTTGTGTGTGTGACACTAACTACTGATGGCAAACTTCATCTGTTTGACAATTTAAGTAAGTATGACAGACTTAATGTGCGTGACAGGTTTAACGCTTGTGACAGACTAAGTGTATGTGACAGATTTAACGCTTGTGACATACTTAATGTATGTGACAGATTTAACGCTTGTGACAGACTAAGTGTATGTGACAGATTTAACGCTTGTGACATACTTAATGTATGTGACAGATTTAACGCTTGTGA